ACACAACAAAACTGTAACAACCGATAAGTTATCGAAACTGTCACTCAAAAATGATGAGTTTTCGACACCGATGTCTCTTTCTTCATTAATGAGGACCTCACTAACACCTACTACAAAATTCTAAAAACAGCACTAAACATAAAAAAAAAATTTATATCAGCTGCTTTCACTTAACGCGGGCTCGTTTTTGTGAAACGCGATGACATCGCTGCTAATCCCATTACCATTGATTCCATAGATCAACTAAATACTCTCTTTCGCTGCTCCCAACAACCTGTGCCTGAGCACTCGTGTAATGGAGAAGGTGTTAACTAAATGTCATTCTTATTGCCAACTACTATACCAACATACAGTGTTGCCAACAACTTTACGCTTAAATCTTGCCCTGGCGCTTAAATCTAGCCCTAAAAATACTTTTAAAATATCCAGGCTTATACCTGAACACTAAAAAATATGTTTTTCCAAAAACTCTCGGTTATAGCTGACCTGTTAAAAAAAAACTTGGAAAAAACGAAGTTTATATTTTTTTAAATTCCAAGCTCATAGCAGACCTCTAAAAAATACATTCGAAAAATCCACTAAAAATATTTTTAAAATAGTTACGTTTTATATGTTCAAAAAAATCTACCCTTATAATTGACCCTTAAAATATTCAAAAAAAAAATCCCCGTTTTGAATCTATACTTTTTGATAGATTTTTAAAAAAATTGATTAAAGAATCCAATCTAGTTGGGAGACCGCCCATAAAAGAAAATCATCTTGAGAGGTCTTTCGAAAAAAAAGAATTAATTTTTTTATTAATTTCTGTTTGTTTTTCCAACACCACCCCCCACCCGACACACACACACTCTTTTTTCTAGGTTCAATTTTCCCTATTATCGTGATGCTTTTCGCTGGCGGCTGGAGTGATCGTTATAATAAACGCAAGGCCTGTATGTTATTCCCCATTATCGGTGACTGTTTCATGTTTGTGTGTAAGTATAGAGATCCTGCAAAAAAAAAAAAAGATATGCAAATTTACTATTTTTAAATAAACAATTCCGCATTGCAGTTCTATTGGTATCGGCAATATTTTTCGATAAAATCCCAATGGAATTTGGAGCATACAGTGAGGCAATTGTCCCAAACATGTTTGGTGGAAGCACTTTACTCTTCATGGCCATTGATAGTTATATGACAATATCGACTCCGGAAGCAGATCGTGTATTTAGGTAAGTGGACAAAAAGAGTTCTTGAAAAAAATATTATTCCAAATATTCATGCCTTGTGCGTCTTGTTGGCGCTTGGAAAAATATTTTCTTTAAAAATTCCATGCCTGGTTAGTCCTTGGAAAAAAAAAATATGTTCCCCTTTGGTGCAGGATATAAAAAAAAAAACTGCCCTTGAAATTAATATATATATTTTCCTGTTTTTCAGGTTCGGCATTTATAGTGTGTTTACCACTGTCATACCCTTAATAAGTCAACCCATGAGTGGGATACTCTTCAAGTATCTAGGCTATACATGTATTTTATTTTATTTTTTATTAAATATTTTCTTTTCTTATTGTTTCGCCCACAAGGGTCCTTTATCTTCGCCTTGTCCCTCGACATCAAGACGGACACCACAGATGCCTCGCCAAAAACTGGCACAGAAAATCCCGCCTATGAAGTGACACAACTAGAAGATCTGCCCACTGCACCAAGACACAAAAACAATGTCATTATTGATACCGTGGACAAATCTCCAACCTCAAAACCCGCAAAACGTAATGCCCTTTTGGATTTCTTTGATCCCACATTGGTTGTGGATTATGTGAAATTTCCATTTAAAAAACGTCCAAATCGTGGTCGTATGTTGTTGCTACTTATAATTATGGCCGAGATTTGTATTATTGGTCCGGCAGTCGGAGAGGGTGAATTCTGGAAAAGTTTTACATTTAAAAAACTGAATTGGAATGGCAATGATTATAGCGTCTACTCAGCATTTAATTCGGCCTTGACTGTGGTCGGTAAGTTGGATATGCTGATTCAAAGAGAGGCGGAGAAAGGGGAGGAGAAAGTGGAAAATTGTAATGTTTTTTTTTCTAGGTACCCTTATTGGAACTACCATTTTGAGTAAATTGCTGAAACTTTCCGATGCCTTGGTGGGTATTGTAGCCACCCTATTTACAGCCTTATCGAGAGTGCTTTTTGTAAGTATCGACAATATTTTAAAGACTAAGATAAAGGGCACTTTCTTTTGGGGAAATATGTTTAGGAATACTTTTTTGATGTATTTATTTCGATAGATAAAAAAATATATATTTTTTTTAACGGCCAAAAACACGTAGATTTCAAGGACCATAAGATCCAAGGATTTTTAAAGACTATTTTTTCAATGACCATCAGAGGCGAAGATTTTATGAAGACAATTTTTTAAAGCGCCAACAAGGCTTAGATTTAGAAAAAAATATAATATATTTTTTAAAGGAACCACGAGGCGTAGATTTAAGCAAAAAATCTTTAAAATATTCTCAAGGCGAAGATATAAAAAGGGCCTTTTAAAGGGTCCTCAAGGCGTAGATCTTAAAAATTGCTTTTATGACCTCATCTTGGCTAGGTGGTATACACTCTATACCATCATCTCTTATTGGTTCTGGGGTATCTTCTTCATCGCCACTATTTGATACTAGTAGCTTTTCGAAATGTTCCTTCCAGATCCTCAACATGCTGTCTGTATCTGTCACCAGGTTTTCTTCTTCATCTCTACAGGAGGATGTGCCTGCACCAAAGCCTTCGGTTTGGTGTTTTACTCGTTGGTATAATTTTCGGACTTCATTCTGACTCCTGTACATCTCGATTTGCTCACGCTCACATTTTTCTTGTTCTTTCTTTTTTTCTGAAAACACGTTTCTCTCTCTCTCTCTCCTTTTCTCGCGATTATTCTCCACCACGTTACGTGTGGCTACTGTCTGCAGGGTTGCCCTATACGCTTCGTTTTTTCACATCAGTAGCATTACGACACTCCTGATCGTACCATGGGTTTCTTGGTGGTGGTTTTTGGTACCCAATTGTTCTTTTTGTTGCAGTTTGTAGGGAGTGGGCAATTCTTTGCCATTGTGCTTCTATACTATTATCGGGACAAGAAGTGTTTTCTTCAAGCAGATGGGTAAGTTGAGCGGAGTAGGCCTCGGCTACCTGTTGTGTTTGCAGCTTTTCGACGTCGAGTTTCCGTGTTATATTAGATCGCACCTTTGCTGCGACATTAAGACGGGTGCGTACCTTGGCTGCCACAAGGTAATGGTCCGAATCGATATTCGCTCCTCAGATCGATCTGACGTCTAGAACACTGGATGAATGCCTTCCGTCTATCACAACATGATCAATTTGATTTCTCGTTACTTGATCAGTAGAAATACAGGTGGCATTGTGTATATCGAGATGCTTGAATCTGGTGCTGCTAACTACCATGTTTTTTGTTGCCGCGAAGTCAATCAACCTCATGACGTTGTCGGATGTTTCTTCATGAAGGCTGACTGTGGGGCCAAAGATATTTTCCCTTCCGATTTTTGTATTAAAATCTCCTAGTAAAATTTTAATGTCATGGCCAGGGCAACGGTCATAAGCTGTTTCTAGGCGTTCGTAAAATATGTCTTTGGTCTGTTCATCTTTATCTTCGGTCGGAGCATGGGCGCAAATTAGACTGATGCAATTCGCAATTCGCTCATCTACTGGAGTGAATCTGGAGACATGGTCTTTTATTCTCCTGTTAACCATAAATCCGCAGCCAAATTCATGTCTCGTTTCATGGCAGCTATAATACAGGGCGTAATCGTCTGATTTACTTACGCCTGTCCCTTTCCATCGCATTTCCTGTAAGGCATTAATATCGGCTTTGTACTTCTTGAGTATATCCGCCAATGCGAACACTGCGCCTGTTCTGTACAACGTGCGCACATTCCAAGTGCAGATTCGCAGATCGTGGCCCTTTATACGTTTGCGGGGGTCGTCAACATTAGGTTGGTTTGGTTTTCTTTTTTTTAGCTTTTTCATAGTAGGTTGGGTTTTCCGAGAGTGGGCAACTAACCTGACGCCTCAACCCATTCTTTTATAGTTCTTATGGGTGAACTCGCGGCACATATTAGCTAACTATTTCATCGGGTGATGAGAATAGCTCCCCAGGTGGCACCGCGGGAGGTCATCTCCACAATTGAGATGAAAGAGGGACCAAGATAAGCCTGGACTTCGCCATGTTAAAGCCAATCAGAGCCGTTGCTTGGTATCTATCATCCCCTACGCCACCCCACCCCCCAGATTTAGATATAGCTCCCATATATATTTTCGTCCGATTTAATGTAAACGGCACTATATATCTTTCGATTTGCACGAAATTTGGTACAGCGTAATGAATTAGGTCTAGAATGATGTATGCAAAGTTTCGTAAAAATCGGTTCAGATTTGGATATAGCTCCCATATATATTTTCGTCCGATTTAAGGTAAATGGTGTACCAAAGTCCCTATATATCTTTCGATTTGTACGAAATTTGGCACAGCATAATGAATTAGGTCTAGAATGATGTGTGTTAAGTTTCGTGAAAATCTGTTCAGATGTGGATATAGCTCCCACATACAGATTATATTTTTAACAACGCGGCGTATCGAATAGCGTGTATCAATTTTGTTATAAATCGTTTTCCATAAATTGTCCCAATGTTACGCAGGCGGCTCTAAATCTGCTCGAATGAAATTAAAGTTAGCATAGGTTGGGGAAAGAGGGAACATAAACGTGCAATTGTTAGGATACATATGTACAATATACCCAAAGTGGTGAAGGGTATCATATAGTCGGCCCAGTCCGACTTTACTACTTTCCCTATTGGTTTTTTTAATTTATTTCCATAATTATATTAATATATATGTTTTTACAAAAAAAAAAAATATTTTTTTAAATTTATTTTCATAGCGTACATATAGGAGAGTTTTTTTGAAATTTATGTCCATAATTATATTAATTTATTTTTATAATATATAATAGAAAGGTTGGTTTTAAAAAAATATTTTTATGGCAAAACTCAAGACGTATTTTTTTTTAATCATATGTTGTTTTTTTTCTTTAAGAGTATTTTGCAAGGACCATAAGAAGCGTCGATTTTTTTACAATAAATTGAGTTCGATTTCTTTTTTGTTCTCTTTCAGGGATTTGCCAGTAACACTGCCACATTTTATGCTGGTGCTGTAGCTGATGCTTTTGGCGCCTTGCCTCCTATTGCCATTAAGACAATGGGTTCAAGTATTGTGGATGCCAATGACCTGAGTATGTAGCACTTTGAAAACTTAATTATTATTTGCGGCAGCATAAAATTCAAAAATCCCTAACGTTTTACCTCTCTTGTTCTAGGTAAAATGTTCTCACTATTAAGAATCTGTATTCCATTGGTCAATATGACTTTCATACCCATCTATAGTAATATGTATGAAAAAACTGTAAACTCATTCCCCGGGACAATTTTCCTCTTCAGCGTAGTGTTTGCGATATCCAGCGTCATTGTCTTTATGTTAGTATATTTAATCAAAGCCTTTAATTGCAAAATCTAACCTAAATTTGGAAATTTGTTTCTCTCTTTTCTTTTCTCCCTATGTTTTCTTTGTGAACATTTGGTTTTTAATTTTCTTCTGACTGTGCCTTTGAAATTCGGAACAGTATTTGCTATGTTGTTGTAAGACGTCGTAAATCCCAGATGCCAGAAGCCGATACAGCTGGCAAAGTGGAAAATGACCATAAAAATTGTACTAATGCTGCCATACAAAACGGAGGTTCCGAAATGACCTGTCTGTAGATGTGTAAGATGCGTGAAGAGTGTAACTGATAATGTGTGTTTAAAAACTATTTTGTTTGCGTTTTTTTTTTATAAAATACAAAAAATAAAAAATAATTTTTAAAAAATTCACTCTTTGAAAAATAATTTTTAAAAAATCCACGCCTTTAAAAATAATTTTGAAAAAATTCACGCCTTTAAAAATAATTTTGAAAAAAATTCACGCCTTTAAAAATAATTTTTAAAAAATCCACGCCTTTAAAAATAATTTTTAAAAAATCCACGCCTTTAAAAATAATTTTGAAAAAAATCCACGCCTTTAAAAATAATTTTTAAAAAATCCACGCCTTTAAAAATACTTTTTATAAAAATTCACGCCTCATAAAATGATTTTTAAAAAATCCATGCCTTTAAAAATAATTTTCAAAAAAATCAACGCCTTTAAAAATAATTTTTAAAAAATTTTAAAAAATAATTTTGAAAAAAATCCACGCCTTCAAAAATAATTTTTAAAAAATCCACCCCTTTAAAGACAATTTTTAAAAAATCCACCTCTTTAAAAATAATTTTTTAAAAAATCCACGCCTTTAAAAATATTTTTTATAAAAATTCACGCCTCATAAAATAATTTTTAAAAAATCCACGCCTTTAAAAATAATTTTTTAAACAAATCCACGTCTTTAAAAATAATTTTAAAAAAATCTACAAAAATCCACCCATTTAAAAATAATTTTTAAAAAAATCCACGCCTTGATGAATGGCAGAAAAATATTTTTTAAAAAAATCCACGCCTTGATTTATGCCAAAAAAAATTTCTTTAAAAAAATCCACGCCTTGATGTCCCTTTGAAAAAAATTTCTTTAAAAAAATCCACGCCTTGATGTCCCTTTGAAAAAAATTTCTTTAAAAAAATCCACGCCTTGATGTATCCCATAAAAATATTTTTTATAAAAATCCACGCCTTGATGTATGCCATAAAAATATTTTTTATAAAAGTTCAAAATTAAATTTAAAATATTTATCGCTTTGAAAAAAAACTCACGCCTTTAAAAATAATTTTTATAAAAATCCACGCCTTGATGTATGCCATAAAAATATTTTTTATAAAAATCCACGCCTTGATGTATGCCATAAAAATATTTTTTATAAAAATCCACGCCTTGATGTATGCCATAAAAATATTTTTTATAAAAATCCACGCCTTGATGTATGCCATAAAAATATCTTTTATAAAAATCCACGCCTTGATGTATGCCATAAAAATATTTTTTATAAAAATCCAAGCCTTGATGTATGCCATAAAAATATTTTTTATAAAAATCCACGCCTTGATGTATGCCATAAAAATATTTTTTATAAAAATCCACGCCTTGATGTATGCCATAAAAATATTTTTTATAAAAATCCACGCCTTGATGTATGCCATAAAAATATTTTTTATAAAAATCCACGCCTTGATGTATGCCATAAAAATATTTTTTATAAAAATCCACGCCTTGATGTATGCCATAAAAATATTTTTTATAAAAATCCACGCCTTGATGTATGCCATAAAATATTTTTTATAAAAATCCACGCCTTGATGTATGCATTAAAAATAATTTTTAAAAAATCCACGCATTAGCTTATGCCACAAAATTTTTTTTTTTAAATCAACGCGTTGATTTATGCCATAAAAATAATTTTAAAATTTAAAATATTTATCGCTTTGAAAAAAAATTATCTTTAAAAATTATTGACCTCTGTGTTGCTTTCAAACACGTTCTACTGTAGCTACAACCGAACAATTAATCTTAGAAGCTGTTTATCTTCTTAAACGCCGGACAAAAACGCACACAATCGATGATTAGCACAAAACTTGACTGATGATTCTCGGCTACTCGACAGACGAAGATGAAGAAGAAGAAACTCAAAACCAGTGTGTGAGAGAGAGTGAAATTGCCATTTTGAGTCACTACTAACATCGACTAATTCATTCATCTAAGTTTAGTTTGAATTTGGACGCCTGCGCGCATTGACTAAAAAAATAACGAAACAAATTAAAACACGGCAATGATCGTGCAAAACAAAACGATATCGAACGTGTAACGAACAAAAAAAAATAATATATTTAAATTCCCAATATTCAAAATTCAATAAAAAATAAAAGAAATGGATTCGCCTAACGCCAACCCTCAAAATGAGGAAAAGCTCAGTTATTTGCAAAAGGTTTGGCGTTATCGCCGTTATTTGGTCATCGAACCATTTTTCTTCTTCTATTTGATGGCAAGTATTTTCAATATTATTGCCATTTTGAATTTTCCCCTGGACAAGGCGTGCAGTGTTAATTTGG